TTTAATTAAGTAGGTTTTTGTAGTTTTCTAAAAAATTATTAAGTGGATTTAAATAGATTTAATATTTATAATGCCAAAAATTATTTAAAATTTAATCCACAAAATTTATTAAATTCAAATTACATTTATTCACTAAATTTTATTAGAGCTAAATCCTGTTTGTAACCTTTAGCATCACATCAAAAATATCACCATCGGTCCATCACTATACTTCTTAAAATAAAATGTACGTTTTACGACTCCAAAATATTTTGGGGAAATATCAAATTATTGGCGTTGGATTCGTAAATACAGATGAAATGTGTGGAATGCTTGTAAGTTTCCCTAACTTCTAATGTGAGAAAAATGAAGTCACGTTGCTCATCAGCTTTACACAAAATCAATCCCACAATGCCATTTTATTTATTATTAATATTTTTTTTGCAAACATCATAATACAGAATTACCTTCTACAACCACAAGGTAGCAACATGCAACATGCAGTCTTAAAACCAAACAAGATTCTCGTCAGCACAAACCCTAATGCACGATAACTTTAAAAGAAGACAATGCACTCAATTCCACAAAGGCAAAAACATAAAAACTTATAGAAAGAAGCAGGTGAGACAGATTTATTTCTTCCTCTGGAGCACATCTCTGAACCAGTAAGCCGACATCTTCGGATAACGCTTTAGGGTTTTAAAGTCCACATACACAATTCCAAATCTGGCAGTGTAACCCAATTTCCACTCAAAATTATCCAGCAAAGACCAAGCAAAATAGCCTATCACAGTGGCTCCATCATCCATTGCCCTCTTCAACTCGCTTATGTAGCTCTTGTAGTAATTCAGTCTTGTCGTATCATGTACTCCCGTTGGAAGGCTCACATTGCCAGGATCATCCATTCCTTCATGTGTTTCAAAACTTGAATCAGATTATAGGAATATTTATATGCATAGCACACAATTCTTATGCATTTACAAATCTCACACCTTAACTTTCATATTTACACAATGTAGCACTCAGCAGGAGTTAGATATGTTGAAACATAAGAATTGTGTGCTATGAAAATATACAGTGAAGATTATTCAAATAAGTACCATTTTCAGACAAAATAATTATTGGGTTTTGATAAGTCTCCTTCACATATGTTACAGCTTTGTACATTCCCCATGGGACAATATACAGCCAGTCTGAGTTTGCCTGCAAAATTTACACCACGTGGTGGTTGAATCTTCTAAGAAAGGAGCGAAAGCATATATGTAAAGACCAAAGATTTTTGGAAGATTTACATACATGCCACTTAATTCCTCCCAAAGATTTTTGGAAGATCTACATACATGCCACTTAATTCCTATGTATTCACATATTTAGCACCTAAATATCAATTTGCAGATACATAATCCCTTACCTATGCATTAATAGGTGCATTTCAATTTTTAAAAATTAAAAATGGTGGTAATTTTGATGTTATATGAAAGATTTGATTGGTATAAATGCAAAGCGTAAAGTTTAGATGGCAGATATGTAAATACATAGGAATTCGGTGGTATGTATGTTATTAGCCCAAGATGTTTTATATCGAGGCGGCAGGATGATCAGATAAGGTAAGAGGTGAACGAGATCGCAATGCATGAATGATACTACAAGGTCAAAGAATAGTTTTCGGTGTAAAAATTACCTTTGGTCCTATAGGCACACCATTGCGTTCATCTGCATTTACAGGAGTGTAGAAACCAATAAGCATACATAATAATTAGAGCGTGTTTGAGCTCATTTTTCTTTTTGTCTTCTACTTTTATATTTTTTAATTTTAAAAATATGTATGCTAAATTTTTTTCCATGATATTTAACTTATTTTTAAGAAAACTTAAAACATCTAAAAGTTATTTTTGAGTTATTTTAAAGCCAACTAAATATATTCAACCATACCAAACATATTTCATTTCAAATAAAAACATAAATCAAATAAAATCAAATCAAAAGTGATCCCAAACGGCCCCTAAGCAAATGCGTGGTTAAGAAGTGATAGGGGGAGTAAAGGAGATGACTAAACTCACAAGCAAATCCAACATTCCAGTCTGCTTGATAGCCAGTTGGTGTTTGGATTGGAAGATGTGGATCGAACATGTAGTAGGACGTGTACTGGTTAACTCCTACGTAATCTACACAACCTTTCACTATATTAATCTCTTCTGCGGTGAAAGTTGGAAGCCTTTCCTTAACAATATCTTGCAATGATTTCGGATACTCGCCATATGTTATTGGGTGAAGGAACCTGCAAAAATAAAAATATTTATTTCAGGTTACCATTTCTAAGTTTTATAAGCACTGCAAGCTGATTTATGTTACTTTTCGAAAGAGTAAAGTTTTAAAATAGCCCCAGACTATTATATTCCGCAATTTGGGACCAAGAGTCCATAAAAGTATCAAATTAATACTCACTCTATTTTAATATAGACTAAAATAGTTCCCAAAGAGAACTATGTTAGCCACCATTAAAAGAGTTAGGGGACTATATTATCGCTTTTATAGACTCACGAACCAAAATGGCAACATACAAAGAGTTAGTAGGCCATTTTAACACTTCGCAAGTTTTCAGCACTTACCATCCAATGTGAAAGTCCCTCGCCCTTTGAGCTGCGGCCTCATCTGCTGTTGAATTTGTAAGAGGTTCATACCAAACAAAATCTAGCAGAATACCTATCCTACCTTTCTGACTAGCCTGACAGATTTAATGAAATAGAGAGATCATGAGTTATGAAAGATTATTCATCCAACTTACAAAGCATCAGTAAGAATATTGGGCATTCTCTAATCGGGAAAGATGGATATTAATGTCTAATAGATAGAAATCATATATAAACTATTTTACATTATTATTGTAAGAATATTGGGCATTCTGTAATCAGGAAAGATGGATATTAATGTCTAATAGAATAGAATTTTGATAGAAATCATATATAAACTATTTTACATTATTATAAGAACAGAATAGATGATGATCTACCTGATAGTTATCACGATATCTTTTCACTGCAGTAGCATGAGATAAGATGAGGTTGTGGGCAACGATGTAAGGTTCTGTAGTAGAGTTGCCACCAGCAGTGCAGCCTGTGCACCTTCCAGGAGCAAAAATGCCATTATCATATCCGAGCGCTGCAACAACCCTCGGTTCATTAAATGTAAACCAGTTCTTCACCCGGTCTCCAAAAGTTTTAAAACAAAATTCTGCATAATCTGCGTAGTCCTTTCTGCACGGAATACATCATTGATAAATCTTATCCATGCAAAAAAAATAAAGTTTTGGAATCCAAGTCATTCTTTTTACATGGAAATAAAGTTACTTTAAGAAAAAACAGATCAAGTGTCATGTGAATAGTTAGGAAATAAGTGTGAAAATACTTTGCTATGAATCAACTTTCAAAAGAAGCAAGATAAAAGGCAAGATTAAAGCAAAAGCCTACTCAATACTCAAAAGTTGAATAAGCAATATTCCACGAGGTATTTTATTTCAGGAAGATTAACATACATACCACTCAATTTTGATATATTTAAATATCTAACACCTAAAGTTCAATTTGTACAAGCATGCCACGTTACCTATGCATGAAAGGGTGTATTTCACTTTTAACAATAAAAAAAAGGTTATTTTGAAGTAATATGAAAGATTTGGGTCGTATAAATATAAAAACCAAAGTTTAGGTGTTAGACATGTAAATGCACAGAATTTGGTGGTATCTATGTAAATGCTCCTTTCCTTTTCTTAGATACAAATTTGTTTCTGGTTTTCCTTAACTCTTTCAGCAAGTTCTGATTTGAGATTAGAGCACTAGAATGTCAAAGCATCTTTTCTATGGAGAGCTAAAGTAAGTGATTTATGCAGTCTATTAAAGGCTTGGTTAAGGAAGATAGACCATTTCTACTTGCTTAGCTTAAGTGTATTATTTTAAACAATCTCCCTGGTGGTGATCTAAACTTGACTCCATGTTAGATGCACTTCCATTGAGTGAAAGTGTGATAGTTAAGGCATGAAAGGGAAGGCTTCAAAATTACACTAGTTTTATTTATAGCTGATTCTAAGCTAGCTGGCTCGCCAATAGCAGAATTTGTGTTATTAAACTCAAATACTTATTGAAAGAAAAAATTAAGCATTGATTAAAAGGTCACCTTATGAAAATTATATTAGTATTAAACTTCAGTATTTCCTAAATTACTATAAGAAATAATCCAATTCATCTTGTTTAAATTTTCTCACATATGTATTTGCTCAACCAAAGGTACTTGTGATACTCGTGCTCTTGTCTTTATATCCACCACAAGATTGCTAGAATAGATAATAGATTCTGGTGCATCTCGTCATGTAATAGTTGTCGCTAGTAAGTTCTCTTCTTATACTCACCTAACAGTTTCAGTGAGCGTTCAAACCTCTGATGATACAACACAGTCTGTGATTGATAAAGGTACAGTAAGGTTTACCAATTCTGTGACTTTGTCTAATATTTTACATACTCCTTTTCTTTTTCATTAGTGTCATTATACTCTAACTAAAATGTGTTGCTTCATCTTCATTTGATATTCCAATTGATATTCCAAATGTGATCTTTCAAGAGAAGGGGACTGGTCGGAGACTTGAGATAGACACGTGCATAGTGAACTCTGATACTTGGATAAAGAGGGGATGGACTCAGCCTTAGCATCCATGGTTGAGAAGTTGAGACTGCTAGGGTAGGAGGATCTGAGAGGAGTGTGAAAGATGTTTTGTTGCTAAATCACAGGCGCATGCGTCACTCTTCGTTTAGTCTATTGAGTCGTTTGTATCCATCATTATAATAAAATGCAAATAAACAAAAACTTGTGCATGATGCATGTGACATTGGTAAAAATATCAGGAGCTCTTATGTTAGTTATGGTAAAAAGAGTTCTTATGTTTTTGATTTTATGCACTCAGATGTATGAACTCAGATGTATGGGGAACTCGTTCTACAACTTCTATGGATAGTTACAGATATTATGTGTCTTTCATTGATTGTTTTTCTCGCGTTATTGATTATATCTGATGAACAACAAAAAATGAGCAACAAAAGTGAAGTGTATGCCTTTTTTAAAGTTTTTTTCAAGGCGATTCAGGCTCAGTACGGTGCAGTAGTGAAAGTATTGAGGTCTGATAATAGGACAGAGTATACCAACAAGGCGCTTAGAGAATACATGTCAGCCCAAGGGTACAATATCAAACCATATATTCATACACATCGACACAAAACGGAGTAGCAGAGAAAAAGAATAGACATATTTTAGAGATAACTCAAAGCATGATGATCGGGATGAATGTCCCAAAGTACTTGTGGAGACAAACAGATTTGACATTGGCTCAATTAATCAACAAAATGCCCTCGAGAATGTTGGATTTGAAGTTTTCTTATCGAAAGTTGAAAGGAGATAATAGTGGGATCCTCCCATTGAAGGTTTTTTATTGAGTGTGTTTTGTGAAAGAAAACAGACCATCAATAAGGAAACTAGATCCCAGAGCTGTGAAGTATATTTTTGTAGGTTATTCTGCTACCTAGAAGAGGTATGCTTGTTGGAGTCCGAAAGAAAATAGATTGTTTGTGAGCATGGATATGTCCTTTAGAGAGTTTGAACAGTATTATACCTTGGGGTTGACCTCACCTTTTAGTGACTCATCAGATATTGGAGCTATAAGGAGTGAGGGGGAGAGTAATGATGGTCAGAGGTAATGTGGGAACGATGTCTTGTCTCGTTGTGTAGGAAGGATCAACTAAGGAAGAGTCAAAAAATGAGGAAAAAGAACCTGAATGTGAAGGGATTCATGCTCAAAGGGAGCTGAGAGTGTAAACAATGAGGAGGAAGTAGAATGAGGAAATAGTGTCTATCGTACCACTCGCGTCATCAAGTTCGAGAACAGTGTCTGTCGTGTCACTCGTGTCATCAAGTCTCTTGTCTCGGTCCACCCCAACTCCTGAGAAACCTACATCTTCTACTTCAAAAACTGATTACCCAGATGATACGATTCCTCTCCCTTCTCCTCCCACTCCTATGGCTTTAAGAAAGTCCTATCACAGTAATGCGGGTCGTTCTTCGAATCGTTACTCTCCTTATTGTTTTAGTTTCTCACATGATATTATTCAATTTATCTCATACTCTCACATATCATCTGCACATGAAGCATTCATTGCATCTTTAGACACTTCTCTATACTCAAATGTTGTAGGTAAGTAAGAAAAATTCAAAGTGGAATAATGGAATAATTTCATATTAGAGGAACTTGGTGTTCTCGATAAGAATAGGATGTGGGAGATAATATCATTGCCAGAGAAAAAAAGAACAGTTAGGTGCAAGTGGATTTCACAGTAAAACAAAATACAGATGGGAAAGTGGAGCATTACAAGGCACAATTAATGGTGAAAGGGTATAGTCAGACATATAACATTGACAACGACGAGACTTTTGCACCTGTAGTGAAGATGAGCACAGTGAGGACACTAGTTTCTCTGGTTGTGAATGATGAGTGGAGGTTATACCAACTTGATGTGAATAATGTTTTTTTTTTGGTGAGTTATTGGAGGAGTTGTATATAGACATACCACCAGGATACGGTACAGGTCAAAAAGTGGGTAAGGTGTGCAGGCTCAGGAAGTCACTTTATGGCTTGAAGTTGTCTCCTCGATCCTGGTTTGACAAATTCAGAAAAGCTATGGTGAGCATGGAATATCAACAGATCAATGCCGACCATACAGTGCACTTTCGTCAAAATGGAGGTCACATCACTATGTTTGTTGTGTATATTGACGACAAGATTATCATTGGTGATGATGAAACAGAGATTATTCAACTAAAGGTTAGATTGGGCAAAGAATTTGAAGTGAAGGACCTTATAGACAACTCAGATACTTCCTTGGGATTGAGTTGGCTCGTGAATCAGAACGGATGTTCTTATCTCAGAGAAAGTATATTAGATCTCTTCACATAAACATGCATGTGGGGATGCAAGCCTACAGTCTCTCAATTTTATTAGAATGTCAAGCTGAGTGCAGAGGGTGGAGAGCCAATTAATCGTGTGAGATACCAGAGATTGGTCTGTCACCTGATCTATCTAAGTCATACGCGTCACGACAACTCATTTGGAGTGAGCGTGGTGAGCCGCTATATGCATTATTGAAGGAAGAGTAATATAGACACGGTATATCAGATTCTGAGATACGTGAAAAGTGCACTAGGGAAGGGGTTGATTTTCAGGAAGAATGGACATCAAGACATTGAGGGCTATTGTGATGCTTACTGGGCGAGTTATACGAATGACAGAAGATCTACCTCAGGATACTGCATGTTGGTAGGGGGCAATTTGGTCTCTTGGAAGAGCAAGAAACAATCGTTAGTAGCAGGTCAACGACAGAGGCAAAGTACAAGGTCGTGACCTTAGGAGTTGTCAAGATGATGTGGCTGAGAGCCTTGTTAGTCGAGCTCAAGGTGGATCAAGGTAAGTTTTGGGGTGAGAACAAGTACACGCGATAGATTCGAACATGTGGAGATTGATAGATTCTTCATCAAGAAAAAGCTGAAAAACAGGCTAATGGAGCTAAGTCATGTAGCCACTGAAGAGCAAGTTGTCAACTTCCTCACTAAAAGACTTAAGTCTAGTAAATTTGTCTAGATTATGTGACAAGATGGGCTTAGTGGATATCTTTTGCCCGTCTTGAGAGGAGTGTTGAGATTTGTACCTTATTTTGAGTGGTCTAATTGTAAATAGGAAATACATAAGAAGTTTAGGGGTTATTTATAAAAAGTTTGTATGGCTCTATAGAAGCCTAACTCATGAATGAGGAAAATATAATTTTTACCAAAGTAATCATTTCTTCAATAACAATAAGAAAAAAAAATTACATAATATTGAATAAAATAGCCTCTTCATGTTACCTATTGGTTAAGCCAAACTAGTTAAGTTTTCAATTGATATATGTCATTGCAATCCCCTAAAATAACTCTGCTCATCAATACATAAGAGTGGTTTATATGAAGCAATCAATATCTCATCAAAATTAAGCTTTTCTCATTGTCGTTTAATGAACTTCTTAGAAAAGGTACAAATGTAATCTTTCAACATCTTTCCACTTGGTTGTCCTCAACCAAGCAATTGGCTATCTAAGATAATGTGTTTATGCTTGCAACTTTAATTTCAATAGAAATAAAAATAAGAAACCTCTTACACCTACCAAATCTAATACATTTCATTTCT